CTCTTTCTCTATCTCTGTCTCTCTCTCTCTCAAATAAATAAAAACAAAATCTTTTTAAAAATAAGATGCATATAGATATATATAAAACATATATATGTGTTTTCCCCATGGTTTAAAACATATACATTTGTCCCCTTGGTTTAACATATATATATATTTCCAAGGGGAAAAATTAGGAAGTTTGGAGGGGCAAAAGGAATAAGGGATGATTCCCAGAGATCATAAGTGGCTAACAGCCCGGGACTGGAGCCCACAAACCCTGCCGCTGTCCTGCTGACACTGTCACATGTTCTAGATCTGCCGAAGAGGGCAGAGATGGAATGGCTGAAAAGGTGCAGCCTTTGGCTCGGGCTGATGGAATCCACTGCTGCTTTGGAACCACCACAGCCAACAACAGCCACACCATGCACCTGGCAGCAGGGATACGCCTTCTTCCTCCCCCGGTCTGCTCTCCCTCCAGGGCTTACTATCGGCAGAACCCACAAAGAAGCTAGGAAGCAAGTGAGCCAGGTAAATGCAGGCTCTTAACTCCAGCAATACAGAGCAGAGAATAAAAAGGTGGGTGAAAAGCTGAGAGAAAATAGATATAGCCCATGGGAAAGCATGTGAAGCAGTCCCATTAATTTCTGGAACAAGAAAAGGATTTAGTACCCATCCTACTATTTAACATTGTTCTAAGGAATTATATAAATCAATTAAGCAAGAGAAAGAAATAAAAGATATAAAAATTGAAAAGGAAAGGTAAATTACTGTTATTGGCACGGATCGTGTTATGCTTAGAAAACCCAAAGAGGGGCGCCTGGGTGGTTAAGTGTCCAACTCTTGATTTCTGCTCAGGTCATGATCTCAGGGTCGTGGGATTGAGTTCTGTGTGGGGCTCCATGCTCAGCAGCGAGTCTGCTTCTCTCCCTCTGCCCCTCCCTTCACTCGCGCGCTCTCTCTCTCTAAAATAAATAAATAAATCCTAAAAAAAAAAGAAAGAATCAAATAAAAAAATAATTATAAACAGTAAGAACATTTAATAAGATGACTAGGTACAAAGCTGATACACAGAAACAAAAATGATGAGATATATATACAAATGGAAACCAGTTAGAAGATAGAAGTGAAGAAGAGACTTCCTCTTATATTAGTCAAAAAAAAGTAATATAACTAGAAAGAAGCTTAAGAAATGTTCAGTATCTACATGACGATATCTTTGAAATACTACTGACAGGACAAAAGAAGATATGAACAGTTGGGGACACATAACATACTTTTGGACAAAAAGGTATGTCAGTTCTCCCTAAAATATATTTCACATAATCCTAATAAATACCCAGAGCAAACATCATACTCCATGGTGATAGACTAAAAACGTTTCCTCTGAGATATATAAGAAAAGGATGCCTGCTTTCACCACTTCTGTTCAACACAGTTGAAATTCTAGCCAAAGCAACACAAGAAAAAGAAATAAAAGTCATCCAAATTGGAAAGGAAGAAGTAAAATTATCTTAAATGTAACTACATTACTTATTTAACATGGGGATTTTTGTCTCAACCCCAAAACCCACATCATTCTTTTTTTTTTTAATTAACATACAATGTATTATTTGTTTCAGGGGTACAGGTCTGTGATTCATCAGTCTTACAGCCCACATCATTCCTAATGGGTGCTATGGAAAACAGTATGTTGGTTCCTCAAAAAATCAAACATAGAATTATGATATAATCCAGCATTTCCACTTCTGGGAATTTACCCAAAAGAATTGAAAGCAGGGTCTCAAAGAGATATTTGTACACCTACGTTGAGGGGAGGGGGGTTAAGATTGATTTATTTATTTTAGAGAGAATGAGCAAGAGCATGAGCAGGAGGGGCAGAGAGAATCTGAAGCAGATTCTGAGGTGGGGTTTGATCCCACGACCCTGAGACCAGGGCCTGAGCCGAAACAAAGAGTCCAACACTTAACCACTGTGCCACCAGGCACTCCTGTATACCCAAGTTTTCACAGTAACTAAATCGCAAAAGCAACCCAAGTGTCCATTGATAGATGAATGGATAAGCAAAATGTGGTATATACATATAACAAAATATTATTCAGCCTTAAAAGGGAAGAAATTCTTCAATATGCTACAACGTGGATAACCTTCAGGACATTAGATTAAGTGAAATAAGTCAGTCACAAAAAGACAAATACTGTATGATTCCATTTATAGGAGGTACTTAGAGCAGTCAAAATCATAAAGACGGGGCGCCTGGGTGGCTCAGTTGGTTAAGCGACTGCCTTCGGCTCAGGTCATGATCCTGGAGTCCCGGGATCGAGTCCCACATCAGGCTCCCTGCTCAGCAGGGAGTCTGCTTCTCCCTCTGACCCTCCTCCCTCTCATGCTCTCTGTCTCTCATTCTCTCTCTCGCAAATAAAAAAAAAAAAAAATCATAAAAAATCATAAAGACAAAGTACATTGGTGGGTTTCCAGGGACTGGGGGGAGGGGAGAATGGGGAGTCATTGTTTAATGGGATCGAGCCTGCTTCTCCCTCTGCCTACTGCCCCCCGGCTTGTGTGCTCACTCGCTCGCTCACTCGCTCTCTCAAATAAATAAAATCTTTAAAAAAAGAAAGAAAGAAAGAAAGAAGCCAGACAAAAAGTACATACTATAGGATTCCGTTTATATAAAATTCTAGAGAATGCAAACTAACCTATAGTGACAGAGCAGACCAGTGGTTACCTGAGGATGGGGATGAAAGAGGGAATGATGGATTGCAAAAAGACGTGAGGAAACTCTCACGGTTGGTACACATGTTCACTGTGTTGAATGTGGTAATGGTTTCACAGATGTATTCATATGTCAAAACCCATCAAGCATACACAACTATGTGTGCTTTCTTACGCATAATTATACATCATTAAAACTGTACAAAGAGGGTATTAGGCTACAGCCCATTGAATAAAACAGGAAATCTGTGAGTCAATAATAATATGAATGAGTGAGTAGAGATGATAGGTAGATAGATAACTAGATGATGATGATAGACAGATGATAGGTAGGTAGGTAGATAGATAAAAGATAGATAGATAGATAGATAGATAGATAGATAGATAGATAGATAGATAAAAGATGCCTAACACCAAATGTTACTAGTGGAAGTGTAAATTGGAATAGCCACTTTGGAAGACTCTTGGGCAGTATCTGCTAAACCCAATAAAGCAAGGTGTTCGAGAGTGTGTACAATGTACTACCATTTGTGTAAAGAAAGAGGAATATGTAGACACACTTGTGTGTATGCATCTAAATGTGGGGTGGGTGTGTCATCTGCTACTTCGCAGATCATCTCCATCTCCAGAAAGATTCCAAGAAATTGCTATTGTGATGTTTGGTGCCCCCGGAGAGGGGATCTGAGTCATTGAGAGACCAAAGTGGAAGAGAGAATTTTCTCTCTAGTCTCTTTGTACCTCTTAAATTTTGTGCCATGTGAATGTATTACCTTTTCCAGAAAAGAGTTTAATGATTCTTTTAAAAGCAAAGAGAAACCTCCACGGAGCGACTTCTCTCTGACCTCACCTCCCACCACTTCTGCAGCTCACCCATTCTCCACTAAACTGAGCTGCTCACCCATTCCAGAAAGGGGCAGGCGGCGTCTGTCCATACACCTGCTTTTTCCTCTGCCGGGAACACCCTCCCTTTCCTATCCCCGCTCCGAGGAGCCTCTCTTGTCCCCCAGTTGGCTCGGCTTCCCCTGACTCTTCACTACAGCAGAAAAGCCACTCCGCGCCCACACCGCGTTCTCATGGGGCTTGGATCATTACCACCTCCTCCGTGAGCTCGCACCCCTGCTGTGGGGAGAATTGCTGCCTCCCTTACAGTCACAACAGAAGCAAAGCCCAGAGAAGAATGTGTCTGACTGTGGGGGCACAGAACCTCTCACCTGACCAGCAGCATGGGGGCTGCCCCTGGCTCGGGCAGCTCCGTGCGGTAAAAGACACTTTCCTGAAATAGCTCATCCCTGCCTGACTCAGGAGTTGCCCCCACACCTCTTCTCTTAAGGCCCCCCCTGCCGGAGCAGATCCACTGGTGGGTTTGACTGGACGGCAGAGGCAGTGGGCTTTGACAGAGCACCCCTCTCAACCCGGGACTTTGTTTAAACTCAGTCCTCCCCCAGAGGCCATCAGTGGCCCTGGGAAATGCTACTCATGAGCTTTTAGACTATTGTAATTTCCCTCTTGTATAATGCCAAGCTGTTGATTTTCTTTTCTCTATACAAAATTTCCTTTGGCCACTATGCAGTTGGTGGGCAGCCTGTGGAACTATCTGTGGGGAGCTCCCCCCAAGCTTCTGAGGGAGGCTTCAGCCAAAAGAGAAGCCACCGCATAATAATTTGGAGACTTTCTGCTAAGATGCCTGTCACCCCGAAGTCTGGGTTCTGAGACCGCCCTACCTCCATGGTAGCACGGGACCAAAGCGTCAGGAGTACGGTCCTGGGCTGTGAGGACAGCTAGGGTCACCTGCTTCCTGTCTTCCCCCACTCTTCCTTAGATCACACGAATGTAGGAGCAGGGGGAGACCTTAGCAACTATGGAAGGCCCCTCCAATCTCTCTTCATCTCCCCATTTTACAGTTGAGAAACTGGAGCCCAGAAAGTAAAAAGACTTGCCCAAAGAAACACAGCAAGTTACAATGGCAGAACTAACTCTGGGACCTGGGCTTCTCCACGCTGCCTTTTTCTCCCTTCTTTTCTTCTATTGCTGGGGCACTGTGGTCTTGAACCGGTGAGTTGAAAAAATGCCTTTCTTTTGACCTGAAATCTCCCTCCTTCTCCTGACCAATCCGGCCTTCCCCTGAATCCTCTGTGCTGGGCTTCAATCTGGGGCAAAGGCATGTTACAGTTTACAGAGCCCTGGGGGTGTGCCAGGGGAACCCAACCAGATTTTCCAGCTTGCATAACCTGAACAGATCCTGGGGACAGAATGAGGCCAGCACATGCCCATGAGTCAGCTCTGTCCCAGCATTGGGCCCCCATAAAGCTGTGATCTGAGACCTGTCCCCGTCTGCCCTTCCCACTCCTCTCTGAAATGATCACACCCCCACCCTCAACTGGCAGGGCCCCAGAACTCAGGACACCAGCACCACTCAGGACACCGGCTCCCCCCACATAAAACTATGGGGCCATAGTCCCTGCGTCCTCTGCAAACATTCCATGTACCCTCCACACCCTGGCAAAGAGAAAGTGGACAAGTAGGACACAGGGAACGAAGTCCCATCGCAGGGGGCGGAGAGACTCCTGTCTCCAGCGCTGGAGAGAGCGAGAAGGCCAGCGTCCCAACGGAAGCGCCCCTCCGAGCCGGCGTGTCATGGATGCCCTGGTGCGCCTCCTGCAGCTGCTGGTGCTGCTCCTCACGCTGCCCCTGCACCTGATGGCTCTGCTGGGCTGCTGGCAGCCCCTGTGCCAAATCGGCTTGCCCTACCTGATGGCTGTGCTGACTGCCAAGTGCAACCGCAAGATGGGGAGTAAGAAACAGGAGCTCTTTGGCCAGATAAAGGGGCTTACAGGAGCCTCCGGGAAGGTGGCCTTGCTGGAGCTGGGCTGCGGCACTGGTGCCAACTTCCAGTTCTACCCAGCGGGCTGCAGGATCACCTGCCTGGACCCAAACCCCCACTTTGAGAAGTTCCTGACAAAGAGCATGGCTGAGAACAAGCATCTCCAATATGAACAGTTTGTGGTGGCTTCCGGAGAGGACATGAAAGGACTGGCAGATGGCTGCATGGATGTGGTGGTCAGCACCCTGGTGCTGTGCTCCGTGCAGAGTCCGAGGAGGGTCCTGCAGGAGGTCCAGAGAGTGCTGAGGCCGGTGAGCCGCGCGGAGGGGGAACGGGCGTGGGGGAGGCAGACGCAGCATTGGCCGCTCCAGGATAGGGCCTAGGTGTGCAAGCGCGTTGGACACCCATCCACCCCCACCTGCTGGTGAACAGTGAACATGACCGGGGCCTCGATGGGGCAGAATAGGGTGCTGCGGAAGCCCACGGGAGAGCCCCCTAACGCAGCGGTTGGGGGGTGAGGGGGGAGAGACACCTAAGGAAGTGATGTTTACACTGAGATCTGAGGGACTGAGCAGGATGTGGAGGAGTGGGGAAAATAAAAAAGGGTTCTAGATAGAGATATTAGAGGACATAGAATCTGTAAGATTTTGACCTGGGTGTGGAAAGGAGTTTAGGATGGTTTCCGAGTTTCTGGTATCAGTGACTGGTGGAGGGGAAGAGGGAGGGTAGAGGGAAGTGTCAGTTGCTGAAATGAGAGGAACGCATTTGGGACTTGTTGGGTCTGAGGTGCCACTGAGACAGGCAGGCAGAAAAGCCATAGAGGCTGTGGGAAGTCAGAGAAAGATGTGGCCTGCACACAGAGATGTGGAAGTCACCAGCTTGTAGCTGGTAAATTCAGAGCACAGGGGTGCGTGAGATCACCTAGAGAGGGTTCAGCAAGGAGAAAAGGGGTGAAGGAATGGCAGCATTAGTCACGAGTCAGGTGCAAGGTTTCCCCGGGATGTCAGCCACAGGATAAGGTTGGATGTATGTGTCTGAGTCTCAGAAGACAGCGTCTCTGTACACGGTGAGATCTCTGCTCCTGTCTCTCCAGCTCCCCATCTGTCTGCCCTCGGCTAAGCTGTCCCTCTGGCCATTCTTTGGCTGGCTGTCCCCCTGGCCATCATTTAAAATCGCTCACCAGTCACCCCCACTTCTTCAGATGCGCTTTTGACTGGGAGGGTAGGAGCCAGGGGCTACGGAGAAAGTCAGGAGCAGAATGATGTGCTTCATGCACCTGCTGACCAGCAACCCCCGCTTCACCAAGAGGTTTGACCAGGCATGGTCAGCGGGGTGGAGTGAGGGCAGAGGATGTTGTAGAACGGAGCAAAGAAGGGACACTAACTCTCTCTTCTCTCCCAGGGAGGAGTGTTCTTTTTCTGGGAGCATGTGGCTGAGCCACGTGGAAGCTGGGCCTTCCTGTGGCAGCAAGTTTTAGAGCCCACCTGGAGACACATTGGGGACGGCTGCTGCCTCACCAGAGAGACCTGGAAGGACCTCGAGAGTGCCCAGTTCTCTCAACTCCAAATGGAACAACATCCCCCTCCCTTCAAGTGGTTGCCTATCGGGCCCCACATCATGGGAAAGGCTGTGAAATAACCCTTCCCGAGTCCTGCCTCCAGCCAGAGCAATCCCGCCAACCGCCTAACCTGTCTTCTACCGAGGGGGATCTAGGCAGAGAAGCCATTCCCCCCACCGCCCCTTTCCTCCCTCCCCCATCTCTGCCCCCGCGTCTAACTTCAATCCTTCCTGCCAAAGTGAGAAGGCTGTATTCCTAACCTGACCACAGGGAGGAAAGTGATGTCCTGCCATGTCCTTGACTGCAAATCCCTAGACTGGGTCTCCCAATTTTTGCCCACCCACTGCTAGGGCAGTTCCCTTGTTCCCATTAGTAAAGGTCCCCCTCCTCTTCATCTGAGACCACACCCATGTGCCCAGCCCTCCCTCCCACTACCACCTTTGTCCTGAGCTGTGGGGGTTACAGAAGGAAGCAGTCCTCTCCTGGAGACCCTGGACCGGGGGAGCAGGACTCAGCAAAGAAGCCAGAGGTTTTGTCCTCAAATATTTTTTAATAAATAGACAAAATCCACTAGATTGATGCAGCAAACTAAGGTCAGAGGAGAGGGGAAACTAGGGAGGGAAGAGCCCCTGAGTCAGCAACACAACCTCCTCCCCAACCCTGGGGCTTAAGGCACTTTCAGGGGGACAGGTCCTTGGGGTCCTGTTAAACAGGGTGAATGGGAGAGGGAGGGATCAGAGTCCCTCTTCCCACGTTTGCATCAGGACATCACTGCCCTTCTCCCCTACTCCACAACCCCATTCCTGATTTACTGCCCTCATCACACACTGTTTTAAGGGAAGTTTTGGGGGGTGTTCCTTGGGGGGGGGATGCCTATGCCCCTGAGGAAGCAGATCCTGTCACATCCTGATGGGGCACCAGCAACCCACTCTGCCCTCTTCATCCCAAGGAGCCATGTCGGGGGGAAAGGGTGGAGGGGACCCATGGGCCAGGCTGGGACCCAGGGAGCTAGGTGGTGCCTGACACGGGATGCCCATCGGAACCTGGCTCAGGGTGCCCATCAGCAGCCAGGATGGGGTGCGCATCGGGGCCCTCCCGCCGGGGGCTGCCCCAGTTGTTCCTCAGGATAGTGCCTGTCTTCTCCTCCTTGAACTGCTGCCGGTCTTCCCGCGGGATTTTCACCGCGTGGTATTGGGGCACAGTGGCCTCGGGGTACCGTGCCCGCTTGAAGAATCCCATCTGTAAGGACCCCGGGCCAGACATGAGGAGCCTGCAGGGCTGAGGCCCCTGGAGCAGATCCCAGCACAGCCCAGCCCCTTGCCTCCACCATCAGTGGGGGAGAAAGTACCAACCGCAGCAGAAAGGAGCTGGGTGGAACAGCATCCAGTGCGGTGCATGGCCTCCACAGGTGCCACAATTAATGCCGGGCCCCCAGGTCCTCCCCCACGGCGAGAGAAAGACCAGGAGGGGCCAAAGGTGCAGGACCAAGGACATATCCCTGGGCTCCAGAAAGCGGGGGTTGAAGATGGAACAGCAGGACCGCAGACCCCACCCAAGCTTTTTTTAAGAGACCCAACAGCATGCCCCAGAACATAAACGAGATCTGAGACAAAAAAATGACTTCCTAGACCCCTGCATACTGGGAATGACTCCTCTCGAGCCTCGGACACACACCCCGTGTACTCAAACAGCATTTCCCTCGGGGCAGGGCCCTCCCAAGTCCATGAATATGGTGACCTTGCCCCGCCCTACATCATGAACACATTGGCCCTTCTATACCGAGGTGGAAATGTGCCCCTTGCACACTCACACTCAGGACCACCCGAGGCTCCTACATGCTCAGACCGCACGGCATGTCCTTGTACATTTGTCTCTGCACACTCATGCCCCCAGAAAAGCCATGCATGGCACCTCCCTGCACCCCCACATGCTCATACTGCATGAGCCCGGCCACCCCTTTGTGCATGCCTCAGGTCGTGTGTACTCGCCCTTATAATACCCCCCTTATAATTACCTCCCACCCCCGTTCCACACCACCCCCGTGCAATCTCATTTCCTCACCCTGGTCCCCTGAATGCTGGGGGCTCTACTCACACATACACACTCACACGCACACACACGTGCACACACACAACAATTACCCCACAGTCCCTGGGCCCCCAGCTTCCACGGCCGAGGGCTGCACAGCCAGATGGGCCTGGTGATAGTTGGTGGGAAAAGATGAACTTTGGCTGCTCCGATGGAAGAAGCCACACTGGGATGTCAAGGGCGGAGGGGAGCAAAAGAGGTGGAGGATGGGAAGACTCAGGAGGGGTGGGTGGGGGCCCTTATCTCTACTCTGTCCCCCTTCCAAGAAAGCAGGGAGCAGGGATTCTGGAGCCAGTTTCATGAAGTCCCCGAAGACTGGCCAGGTTCCCCACACTTTGGATGCTCAGCCAGAGGCCTGGTCCATTGATGACTCACATTTACCAAACAGTGCGCTTGGTCCGCACCTGGTCCGGGGAGGACTGGGGGCAGTTCTCCAGGGGGCCCCAAAGACATGCATGGTCCTCCATTGCCCAGATGTGGCATGTGGTGCAGGGTCTGACGATGGGTGGTGGATGCGATTCCCTGTACTGACATGTGCACGTGTGTGCTTTTTGGTGGAACCCCAGACACAAATGGGATTCGGTCTACACTGTGTTTGAAGACGGTTCCATGTAGAGCCTGGTATGTGAAGGTTCTGAGTTCCGTGCTGGAGGCAGTCCCTGGAGGTTGTTCTCCACGCTGTTGTGTCTTCTTTACCACAGTTTCCTTCCCAGCCTTCCCTGCCATGCTCTCGTTAAATCAGCCCCCACTTCCCTGCCTCCATGGCTCTGCCTCCCATGGTCCCGCCCACGCCATCTCCCACCTCCAGATCCTATGACCCCATCTGCTTCTAAGCCACCTGCTCTCAAGCTTTCTCACCTCTGAACTCCCACAGCACTCGCTGGCCCTAGCGCCTTCTGCCTGGTCCTTCCTACAAGGCTCACCTCCCCCACGAGACTATCAGACCCCGGAGGTCAGGATCTGCATCTGACTTCTCTCTGAAACTCCGGAGCCCGACAGAGTCCCTGGGACACACAAGCGTTCAGTGTCGATGGGCCAAATAAATGAGAGAGCGGGTGGGACAGAGGACCATCGCATGAAGGGCCTCCCGCCTGGCAGGGAGGCCCAGCCCCCACCAGCGCCGCCTGCCCAAGCCTCACCTTCCACATGAGCAGCACCAGCAGAGCCAGCACGAGCAGCCCGGCCAGGACGGCCATGAGGATGACCCACCAGGGGACTCCTTCTGCCACCACAGCCACAGGGTCCAGGTAAACCATCACGGGGATCTGGGGAATGAAGGGTTAAGGGAACAAGGACTGGAGCAGAGGGAAAGAAGAGCTTCCCCACCCCAGCTTCGCCAGGCCTGCAGCTCACCACCGTGGAGGCATCTCTGAGCAGCAAGTTCTTGATAGAAGACTTCACGGTGATATTGGCTCGGACGATCACTTCCAGGGACTTCACAGCTGAGTACTCCTAAGGGAGCAGAGGACAGCCTTCTCCTCAATGCCCCCCGCGCCCCGCCCCAGCTCCTGAAATTCTAAGTGCCATGGTGCCCAATACAGAGGGCGTCTCTGCCTGCCTTGGGTTAAGAGTGTGCTGCACTTGGACAGGGAGAAGGCAGAAAGAGCAGCGAGTCCCAGAGGGACGGCCGGGGAGGAAGATGCCAGCCCCACCGCCACGGTGCCCTTACCTCCAAGAAGGTGCTGTTCCAGAGGCGGCCCCACACGTGCAGCACAGCGGCGCGGTCAAAGCTGTAGAGAGGGCAGCTGAATACCACGCAGTTGGCAGTGCCCCGGGCACAGTCCTAGGGACCGGGACAGGCAGGGCTCTGAGCCACTTGGCCCCAGCCCACTGAGCCTCCCCAGGGCCCAGCACCCTCACATATGCACTCACACGGACACAGAATCTGCCCAGAGACTTCACTTCGTCCGTCCACCCATGAGCTCCCACACCCTGGGCCCCCTATTGCCCTTGCTCCTCACTCATATCTCTCCCATTTTCCTTAGCCGACCTCAAACTCACCTCCTCCAGGAAGTCCTCCCAAACTAACCCCATGGTCCAAAAGAGCAGCCTACCCCAAATCTGGCCTCTCTGACCTTGAAATACATGGGGAGCAGGGAGGACGTCTCTTATTTGACAGCAGCAGCTGTCAGTTTCCAGTTTTGTAGTTTCCCAGTTAATGTTTATGTTATATTACAACAGTCCCGTTTACTGAGCATCTCCTAGCTGTAAGGTACTTATTAAAGCCACCCTGCAAGATGCATATTATCATCATCCTCATTTTCCAAACTAGGAAATTAAAGTTCAAAGAGGCCAGGTGCAGGGTGCCTGACTGGCTCAGTCCATAGAGCATGTAACTCTTGACCTCAGGGTCATGAGTTCAAGCCCTTTGTTGGCCAAAGAAATTACTTAAAAAAAAAAAAAGAGGGGCACCTGGCTGGCTCAGTCAGTGGAGCTTGAGACTCTTGATCTTGGGGTTGTGAGTTTGAGCCCCACGTTGGGTGTGGAGATTACTTAAAAATAAATTCTTTAAAAAAAAAAAAAAAGGAGGCCAGGTGACCTTGCTCAGGCTGCACAGCTAGCAAGCTGGTAAGTGGTAGAACAGATACTTGACTCCAGGTCCATGTCGGGCAAAGCCACATTCCTATGCTAAGCCCAAACCCACTGAAGGAGGAGGAGGCTGTCCCAGGAGCTGCTGGGGCACCGGGGACTTAAGCCCTGCTCCTTCCAGGTCTCACCTACATCCGTTTGGCCCGATCCCACCTGATGATCTAGTTGCCTAAAAATTGTGTTATATTCACCACACTTCATGTACAGGAGAAGGCCTTTGAGAGCATTTGAATTCTTTGAATCGTCTTTTATTTTGCCACTTTTTTTTTTTTTTTAAAGATTTTATTTATTTATTTGAGAGAGAGAGAACACATGAGAGGGGATAGGGTCAGAGGACGAAGCAGACTCCCTGCCGAGCAGGGAGCCCGATGCGGGACTCGATCCAGGGACTCCAGGATCATGACCTGAGCCGAAGGCAGTCGCTTAACCAACTGAGCCACCCAGGCGCCCTTATTTTGCCACTTTTGAGCAGCTCAAGAATCCTTGGCCAGTTTGTGTAAAGGCAATTTTAAGTGAAAAAATCAAAGTTCTTATTAGAAAGGAAGGTCTTTCAGGGGAAATCAGCCACATGGAGAAGGCAGGACGATACCCGTGACAGGGAACCTCCCATGATGCAAGTTCACGGTACCCCCACCCGCCATCGTGTTGCCTCCTGCCATGCTCTCCGGGAGCAGGGAAGCTGAGGGCCCCCACGAGAGACAGGGTGTGACAGTGGAGCTCCCTCCCAGACAGACGACGCCAGGCCCAGCCCATCTGTTCGCATCCCCCTGCCAACAGTCTCTTTGACTCCTTCTACCGCCCAGCCTTCCACACCCAGGTCTCCACCTCCTTGCAGCCGGGCCAAATACCCCCCAGCCTGTCCCCTCCACACCCACTGGCAGCACCGTCCTACAAGGGAAGAGCACAGAGCGCGTGCTCATTGGCTCAATACATCCACTTAAAGAACCAAGCTATGCCCAACAAGTACTTGATTGTGTGGCTAATTCGCTGCAGGTCAAGGGCACTGTTCTGGAGTGAATACTTGGTGGTCACAGGGGGACCCGTGGTGTCAGCAGCTGCTTCACGGGTGTGATATAAACTGTCTTGTCAACTCGCTCCAGGTGTGTGACCATCACGCCTGTCAACAGGCCAGCCTCCTGGACGCCCAGCACCCTAAAGCTCCCTGCCCCCCGCACCCCCTGTGACATCACCAGCAGCCCCGCCCCTCATTCGGACTGTACCGTGTTTGCCCTGCCCTCACCAGGGTGATGTTTTTCTTCTTCTCAGCGGAGGACACCGGCCACCAGGACGTGCTGGGCTCCAGCTGCTCAGGATGCTCCTCTTGTTCCGGCTGCTCCAGTTCCCGTCGCCGTCTGTCCCTGCTGTCCACATCCTGGATGCGGGGAGTGGGAGCAGTGAGCGTCCCTCCCAACACAGCCATCCTGAGATGCCATCTCCTCCCCACTACCTTCCCCCTGGGCCCCCACAGCCTCCCACAGCCGCCATGACATCCTTCCCAAAGTCTAACCCCCCTCCACCCTGCCTCAGTGGCCCTGACCACCCTGCCTAAGCCTCACCAGCTGGAGGATGTTGGGCCTCGGGGAGCAGAGCCCCTTCTGCCCGGGCCCCTGCCCGCCCTCCAGCTCCACCCGCATGGGGTACAGCAGCCACTTCCCGTTGGCTATCTCATGGGGCCACATGATGTTGAGGAAGGCAGAGCCTAGGGTGTTCAGCGACTGGCCTTGGTTGGAGACCTGTGGGCAGAAGGGAGTGTGAAGGGAGGGTGCTCCGTTTCTGAGTGGGCCTTAAATCTGCAGAGACAGAGGGGACAAGGGCTGAGGGGAAGGCCTCAGGAAGCAGAATTTCAACAAAGACTTGGAATCCTAGACCCCACCAGGCAACATTCTCTGCCTACGCCAAAACCAGGAAGGCCTGGAGATGTCCCTGCGAGGGGAGGCCCCAGCCAAGCACGGGCAGAGTTTTAAGGAGAGACATCAGCCCTCCCCCACTGTCCCCATCCCCCAGCTAAAGCCCCTGGCAGAAAAGCTTCCCTGGACCCTCATGGTCTACCAGACCAGCAGGTGAGATGTCCACACAGGGATGACCAGGAAATGGTCAGCCGAGGCCCCAACAAAAACACCTGCCCACAATCAAGGTCCAGGAGCAAGGGGAGGCCTTGAACTCGCTGGATCATCATGCTACCATAGGGTGGAAGAACCACAGCCTTGGAACATGCCTCAGCCAGTCTCTGTGCCAAGAAGGGAGGGGCCTGACCAGGGGCCTTACCAGGACACTCACCGTGACCTCATACTTGACCTTGCTGCCTATATCCCGTTCAGACTTCATGGCGCTCTCACCCCGCACCACACCAGAGAAGAAGAGCTGCTGGGGAATGGCCAGCCTGGCGTGGAAGGGTCAGAACGGGGGAGGGGCTGAGGAGGCCTGGGGCCTGGCTGACTGGAGGGTCAGGAGGCAGAGCCCAGGCCAGGGCTTGGGAGTAGCAATGCCCACCCCTCCAGCCGATGCGCCCATCTGGGCAGAGCTTACCCTGTGATGGACAGCGGCAGCTCAATGAAGACACGAGCTCGGACAGAGACCGGATAAAGCTCCTGCTCGCTGATCCTGGTGTGTGGGCAGGAGCACGCATGGGCAATGGGGCATGGGCGCCACCCCAAGGGCTCCGATGAAAACAGCAGAGCCCCATCCAGGTGGACATCAACCCAGCTGCCCCTACCCTCACCACCCCCGGGCCCCCCAGGCTCACGTGGCCAGGAGCAGTTCCACTTCCAGCTCTGTGGTCTCAATAGTGATCCCTGAGGTGCTAAGGATGAGGTAAAAGGTGACCTAGGCCAAGAGTGGAGAGCAATTAGAGTCAGGGAAGGCTAGGGGCTGGAGAAGGGCTCAGGGCTTAGAGAGGCACTCGGACAGGGATAAGGGCTGACATGCCAACCTGGGCACCTCTCTTCATGGGGTTCCCCAGCTCACACTCGACGTGGGAGGCATTCTCATTGGACAGGCAGAGCGGCTTCTCCTGCAGTGAGGAAAGGAGGAGAGGTCAGTCCGGGTTACCGGAGCCCCCGCCACCCCACCCCACCCTGCCGCAGGCCCTCACCGCGGGGTCCAGGGCGCGGACTCCTGAGTAGTGCAGAGAAGCAGGGAGGGTGACCAGAAGCTGGGCTTCGTGAGCATCATCCCCATCAGCCTGGGGCTGGGCTGGATCCGAGGGCAGGTTAGTGACCGTCAGCTCCAGGCCAATGACCGGCTGCCCACTCAGGGCAAACAGGGCTGTTGTCCCATCTGCATCCCTGGAGGTCAGATCCCACTCACACTCTAAATCTGAACATCTTCCTTTGCCTCTCCCTCTCCTGCCTGCTCCCCGCCCGGGGCATGCTGCCTGCCTCCACTCCCTGGTCTCCCCTCCCACTGGCTCCCCCACATCGGCCTCCATGCCAGTCCAAGCCTCAGGTCTTCCCACACTCAAGAGAACCAGATGGGGAGCCTGGAGACCGCTGTTCCGGTCCAAGCTCCCCTACTTCCTCACCTGGGGCAAGGAGCTTAACCTTTCTAGGCCCCCTGTTCTCCATCCACAAAGGAGCTAATAATAATGCCTACCTCACTGGGTTGGGGAGACTAAACAGTGCACTGCACATAAACTGTGTATTATTATACGTCCTGTGCAGGCATGTTATTCCTTGCCAGGAGAGCCTCTGTGGCCCCATCGCTGACCCTCATCTTCTGAATTATCAGCTTCCGCCCTCGGTCTGCAAGCTCAGCCCCGCCCCTTGGCCTGGCCCTCCTGAGAGGGATTCCTTCTCTTCCTTGAACTCTTGCCTTCCCACCCCACCTGCCCCCTCGCTCCCCCCTCACATGGGCAGAGGCTGGAACTCCGTGTCAGTGACGCGGGCACAGAAGCGCGCATGGACCAGCTGCAGATTGCTCTGGCAGATCTTGTCTTCACCACAACCTTGCTTCAGGAAGTGGATCTAGGGAGAGATGTGAGGAGAGGGTCATTCCTAGGGGTGAGGCAGGAGGTGAATGTGTCGCCAAGGCACACAGTGGGGTGGAGTATCACAAGATTAAGCAACAGGGCTTCAACTCTCAGCTCTGCTGCTTACTAGCGGTGTGATACTGAGCCGGTCACTGAACCACCCTGAGCTGTGTCCTCCTCAGTAAAACGAGCAGTGATGGTGCTGAGGTAGAGGCCAGAAGGCTAGCCCACAGCCAGACCACATCTCCCTAGCCTCCCTTGCGTGTAACTGATTCTGGATTTAGAATGTGAAGAGAAGTGAAGGGCATCACTTCCAGGCTGGCCAGGAGAGCCATACAAGGAGCTTCACGCTCCCCCTTCCAGCTGACAGGGATAGAGGTGACCTAAGGACCTTGGGGGCCACATCTGAGGATGACAGATCCCCATCAGCCTGGGCCCGTGAATGAACGCATAGAATGGAAGATCAGTGTCCCCTCTAACGAGGAACACATGATCACTTGAGCCATTTTCCATTTTGTGGTCTACTTGTCACAACACCAAGAGACATGGGGAACTGCTGGGGTAGCCTGTGAAAGAGTTTTGGAAGCTATGAATGCTTGTCACTGTGAGGGATGATGATCATTACTCCTTCCAGCTCCTTCTCCTGAGCTAAGCCAGAACCCATGCTCACCTCTGCCCGCTGGGTGCTGGGCTGGTGAGCACTGAGGATGGGGGCCACTGGGGGCAGCCCCTGGCCAGGAGCCTGTCGCCGGAGCCGTGGAGTCTGGAGATTGTAGGACAGAGTCACCACAATGGCCCGAAGCTTGTCTTTGACATTCTCCTGGGAAGAGGAAGGATGGACGTGGATACTAGAACAATCCTCAGGCCCCAGCCAGACCTAGGACAGATTCTGAAACCTGGCAAGAAGCTTGCAGAGATGAGAGAGAGAGAGGTAGAAACCAGAGTGAGGGGGAGGGAGAGCGACTGGGGTGGAAAAGGGAGGAGACCAGGATCCAGGGCTTTTGAGGACCAGGTATGACAAGGGAACCTGCCATCTCCATCTCCAGGGAGGATAGAACTTGTACTCTGCACACAGAAGGCAGAAGGCACAAGAAGGCAGCAGGTGAAGAGGAGGTCAGCCCATAAGGGAGGCTTTCCAAAAGTTGAGATCAAAGAATGAGCTGTGAGCATGTTAGGGAAGAAGCTAAAAGGAATCAAAAAAAAGAAATCATGCAGTGACAATGACCCTCAGAGGCCAAGGGGTCAGGGCCCACCTGTAGCTGGAACATGGTGTCTCCACAGACTCGGTCATGCTGGTGCTTCAGCCACACGGTGCCTGAGGCCTGGTGCTTGGGGTCATCTGGGCCACGGCTCAGGAAGGTCACACGGGGGACCTGGCCCCGGAGCCTCCTGTCCGTGTCTCCATCTAACACATAATCCAGGGCTGTGGCATGTGGAGAGAAAAGAAGAGCCAGTGAGCTGGGGAACTGCTCTACTCTAACCCTATCTCTGAGATGCCCGTCTCTCTACCTCAGAGTGACCCACCCTGAAGCCCAATGGGGCAGGAAAGGGGAGGAGGACTTCACTCACCCACAATAGGGCTGTAGCTGCTGGGGGTTGCAATGTAGCTGAAACAGACCCTCAAGTCCACGCTGTGGGGGCAAGGGAAGCTCCTGAGCCAGGCCAGGCTGATGGGCCAATGCCTCACTCCTGCCCCCCAGCCCCAGCCCCCAGCCCCACACTGGGCAGAGAAAGGGAGAATGGGGAAAAGTGGGCCCTGAAATCTCCCTGCCTCCCCTTGGATCCCGCCTCACCAGACCGAGTGGCCAGCAGCACAGTTAGGCTGCTCTAGGTCGATGGCTCGGGGAGCAATGAAGACCTCGTGGGAGACATGAAGGACGGGTCTGGCCCTGGGGAATGGGGAGTCGAGCACAAGAAACATGAGACTCTGAGGCAGGGAAAGAGGGCAGCTGATCCCAGGCAGGGAGAGGCAGAGGCAGAGGAGAGGAAGGAGCTCACCTAAAAAGCACAGCAGTGTCGGCCAGGGAGCCGACCAGTAGGTCCGGGTAATGGTTCCCATCCACGTCCAGGCCACCCGAAAGGGAGTAGCCAAAGCTCTTTATACCCACGGCCTCACCCTCCAGCACCTGCAGGACCAGACCATCAGCTCCCCCACAGTATGACCCCCAGCTCTGCCCCCTGCCCTCTGCTGCCCCCCTAACTCCCCCCACACCTCATCCCAACGAACCCCCTCACCTGGGAAGGTTTGATGACAACCCCCAGGCTGCTCCCATGGTAGATAAAGACTTTCCCATCCCCATCAAAGGGAGCCCCCACAGCGATATCTGTGGGCATGAGAAAAAGGTAATCAGACTGGGGTGGGGCGGGGGGGGCAGTCATCCGGACCCCAACCTTCCCTCAGTCACTCAGTTCCATATAGTATGTTTTCTATTTTATTGAGAGGCTACTAAGTCCCAGGCATCTTACACACATCATTTTTAAGCCTCTTAGCTGCTCTCTGCAGATATTACCAGCTCGGAAAGTTTACTTGACCCAAGTCACAAAGCTGGTAAATGGTAAAGCTCAGATGCCAGCCCAGGTTGCTTCTCTCCCAGAGCCGTCAGAAGGCCTCCCCCTGACCTCTGAGGCGCTTCCCCATCCCTGCCTCTGACCCTCCCTCCCCCGGGGCTTTCCGGTTCCCAATCACACCTGCAAAGCCATCTTGGTTGATGTCCCCCAAGACAGCCAGGCTGATCCCGAACATGGAGTCAGGAGAGCCACAGAGCCGGAGAGGGGAGACCCCAGCCCAGTGACCCCCCTGGTTCATGTACACATACACGGCACCCCCCAGCTCTTCTTGGCGCTCAAAGAAGTAAGGGGCACCCACTACCAGGTCTGCCCAGCTACGGAGAGAGGGAAACAGTCAGTGTGGCTCCCTCCCCAGCCACGGCAGTCAGAAAGATGCCGGAGGCCCGCCCAGCCTCCCCCAGGCTCCACTCCCCCGTGCCCATTCTCACCCATCATTGTTGAGATCAGCCACAGCCAGCGAGTAGCCAAAGCCAGAGGTCAGGCGCTCCCCAGACAGCACAACTTCGGGCACCAGGCGGCTGGCACTGTCTTTGCGCAGAATGACCACAGCGCCCTTGTGGTTGGCACGAGGGGCCCCTGCCACAAAGCTCAGCTCCTCTGCACGCACCAGACCCTTCCCCGAGTCAATGGAGAAACCTGGGGGGGGTGACTTACCAGTGAGCCCTCCCCGAAAGACTCAGGAGCCTAGCTGCGTCCAGGCACCGCCCCCCCACTCTGCCCCCTCCTCACAGGTCTGGAGCCAAAAGGTACAGGTGCCCTCCAGTTTATCACCACCACAGCTGGACTGCCCTGCCTCCCCCTCCAAAGGCCTGGCAGCCCTCCCACACCCAGAGACTAGAGTTTGGCACAAGAAGTGCAATGAGGTCAGCCTCAGGGACTGGGGAAGAAAGAGAAAGGCAATGGCTAGGAAGGTCAGCCAGCTGGGCAAGAGCCGAGCAGGGCACCAGGCCTAAGGTCCCCAGGGAGCTGCTCTACCTTCTGCACACCCAGGAGGCCCCAGCCCCATCTAATGCACCTTCTTTGCCCCCCACTCCATCCCTGCTGGCAGGGAAGGGAAGTCTTCATGTGGATAGAGGGGAGAGAAGGGGGAGTGGGAAAGAATTTGATTCACCCAAACATCTCCCAGGCCTGGTTTCCTCCCCCTTTGCACAGGGCTGCAGATGAAACAATGAGAGGGACTTACCAACAAGGATAGACCTTTCTCTGGCATGTGTCCACTATCCATCCCTCAGAGCAAGTCCCACTAGAGCTCTACCCTCCTCTCCCAGTACAGCCTCAACCCACCTGGTTCTTCCTCCATGGAGAGCCCTGTTCACAGCCCTCTAGGCCATCCCCCTCGGGGCATCTTCTCCGGCCTGGTCACTGGGCCTAGCTCTTTGAAATTTGGGCCCAATATGTATTTCCCTGGGTGTGTGTTGGTGAGGGCAGGGCAGGAGAGGAGGGGAGGCCAGGCCAAGCCCCCAGGGCCCAGGGGGACGTGGTGGGAGCTTACAAACCTAAGTAGCTATTCAGGGCCAAGTCTCCGGCTGGTCCTGGGAGCCGGTCAGCGGGGTCCAAAGTTTTATACACCAGCTGGTCAGGGTCAGAGCTATCAATGTTGGTCACAAAGAGCAACCCTGCGGGGGGCAGGTGGGGGGAAACACCAGGGAAGGGACATCCAGAGGAGGGGCCACAGAGTCGGGAGACAGAGCCAGACATAAAGGCAAGAAGAAGGAGGTAGAAGAGGAAAAGGGAGAGAAAGAATATGAGAGAGACAAAAGACCAGAGAGATAAGAATCAGAGACAGAAAGACAGAGAGAAAGGGTGAGAGACAGAGACAGAGACAGAAGGATGGGAGCGTGGAGAGGGAGGACAAGAGAGAGGAGCAGAGGGTTAGAGCAGCTCTGGGCCAGGGAGGGGTCCCTACCAAAGTAGCTGTTGGCAGGGACCGGGATGAGGCGGGGGTCCTGCTCCTTCTCACCCCCCGCCTCGTAGGGCCCGTCGTCCAGGTGCGCCAGGTCCGCTGAGCCCTGCGCACAGAGCTCCACCCTGGCGGTGCCTGCAAGGACAGACCTGTTAGTGCCCGGGCCAGGGAGCGAGGAGCACCTCTCAGGCCAGACGCCAGTTAGACAGGCACACAGGGAAGCCCCTCCTCTCCTTCGCAGCCCTATCTCTACCCCTTCCCCAGCCCAAGCCGCCGGTCCCATAGACTTGCCGCCCCACTCACCGAGTGTCAGCTCAGCCCGCGGCAGCGTGCGGAGACGGGAAAGGGGGTGATGCCGTGGGGCGGGCGCGCTGGAGCGAGCAGGCCCAGCCGTGCGTGCGGGGGCTCATGCCAGCATGGTGGGCAACATTCAGCCATTCGAAGGCGGGGAGACTCCCCCACTCGTGTGCGTGCTGGCATGATGGGGGTGGAGGACGCGGCAGTGCCCCAGGGCGACATGGCAGTGAACGTGTGGGCATGCTTGGCCACGTGCTGCCCCCAGTCCCATCTCTGAGGTAAGAGGACGTTTTGGTTCCCTTCTCCCCTCCCTGAGGAGTGACTCACCCTTCCAGTTATAGGTTCCCGGGGCCCCAAAGAGGAGGTAATGGCTGTCGGGGGAGAAGGCAGCAGCTGTACCCTGCTGGCAGAACCCAAATTGTTCGTGGCTCTGGGGGCGCCCCTCACAGAACTTCCATTCGCCACCATCCAGCTCATCACGGATGGCCAGGTCTTGGCTTAGCACAAAGCAGCGACCAATCACATCCCTGGTCTCTAGGATCTGGTCTACTCGTTGCCGAGCCTCGTAGCGGTGCGCGCAGGTCTGTGGGAGGAAGCGACACGGGGTCATCCACCCCTCAGCCCCGTGTGGGCCAGTGACCTGCTGGAGCCGCACAGCCCACGTGCAGACAAGCACGCAGACACACACACATTACTTGGGCACCACCACCCAGCCCAGCGCTAGGCGATATACACATACCTATCCCAGCTGCACTCACTTCCCTGCGCTGTTAGGAAGAAACCTTGTTCCACATTCTGCCTGGGGACCCAGGCCCCACTAAGCCAGCACACAGCACCCCATATGTGCTTATCCCCGACATGCCAAGCTGGTCCTGACTCTGGATCTTTGTAAGTGCCACCACTTGGCCTGCGAAGAACTTCCTCCTCTCTCCACTCTTGAAGCATTGCTTATTCTTTTTTTTTTTTTTAAAGATTTTATTTATTTATTTTTGAGAGAGAGCACATGAGAGGGGGGAGGGTCAGAGGGAGAAGCAGACTCCCTGCTGAGCAGAGAGCCCGATGCGGGACTCGATTCAGGGACTCCAGGATCATGACCTGAGCCGAAGGCAGTCGCTTAACCAACTGAGCCACCCAGGCGCCCCATTGCTTATTCTTGAAAGGCTGGCTGAACTCTACCCCGCACTGCCCCCGCGGGAGTCTTTTCTCTCCACTCCTCCTTTGGACTTTCACATACTGGGGACTGTACCGCTCCCTTAACATTAACCATATTCTGGGGCGCCTGGGTGGCGCAGTCGGTTAAGCGTCTGCCTTCCGCTCGGGTCATGATCCCAGGGTCCTGGGATCCAGCCCCGCATCGGGCTCCCTGCTCAGCAGAGAGTCTGCTCCCCCTTCCCCCTGCTCATGCTCTCTCTCTCACTTTCCATCTCTCAAATAAATAAAAATTTTAAAAATTCTTCAAAAACAGGGGCGCCTGGGTGGCTCAGTTGTTAAGCGACTGCCTTCGGCTCAGGTCATGATCCTGGAGTCCCTGGATCGAGTCCCGCATCGGGCTCCCTGCTCGGCAGGGGGTCTGCTTCTCCCTCTGACCCTACCCCTCTTGTGCTTTCTCTCTCACTCTCTCTCTCACAAATAAATAAATAAAATAAAATCTTTAAAAAAAAAAAATTCTTCAAAAACATTAACCATAGGGGCGCCTGGGTGGCTCAGTTGGTTAAGCGACTGCCTTCGGCTCAGGTCATGATCCTGGAGTCCCTGGATCGAGTCCCGCATCGGGCTCCCTGCTCAGCAGGGATCTGCTTCTCCCTCTGACCCTCCCGACCCTCCCCCCTCTCATGCTCTCTCTCTCTCAGTCTCTCTCTCAAATAAATAAATAAAATCTTTAAAAAAAAAAAAAAACATTAACCATATTCTGCCCTACGGTGACTCCGATTATTAATTGTGTTTGCACGTGTTAGTGATGATACAGAGAGAAACAGAGAACGAGAGTCTCCAGAACTATTCAGTAGGCTTTGTGAGCCATGGACCAGGCTTTTTCCCATCTTTACATTTCCTCTCTCAGTAACTAGCGCACAATGCCTGATGCTTAAGAGGTTCTCAGTAAGAGTCTGACAAATGGATAGATGGATGCTTAGATGGTTTTAAATTTATAAGGACAGGCACCGTGTCTTCTACCTTTGGTCCTGGGAATGAGGCCATCATACGACACGCCAACCTGTGTTCTATAAGCACACACACACACCCACCCTGGCACACAGTCACAAGAAACGGTACTCACGACAATCTTGCCCCCAGGTCCCTGGCTCCGAACACTGACTCCCAACCACTGGTTCTCCTTGCTCTCCTTCTGCACGTCAGCTGGAGGCAGGATAGTGGAAATGAGGAGAGGGAAGAGGAGGCCGAGTCCTCTCCTCCCCTTCCTGTGCCATGCCCCCTCCCCAACCCTGCGGGGTCCTCACCTCCGCGGTCGATGTCCACTCTGTAGCAGTCAGTCTCTTCCAGGCTCAGGGGGCAAGCGAAGAGGCCTCCGGTGCGATTCGCCTGCTGCCCAGGCAGAGCCAGGGCCTGCGGAGCACCCACCAGCAGCCTGCACAATGGGGCAGGGGCCAGCTTTGGCAGCCAGAGTGCCGTGCCTCCCCAACACTGCCCAGACCCGACCCCTCAGAACCAAGCAAATGTTGAAGAACTAAGGAGGAAGGCCAGAAGTCAGGTTCCCCGAGTCCTGGCAAGGGCAAATTAATACACTTGGCCATGCAATCATCACATTACATATGCACATACTCTCTGGATGAGGGCCCACGTGCACTGTAGATACACACGCACACACGCGCGCGTGCACGCGCACGCCAAGCCAAGTGGCCTGGCCAGCGCAGCTAGTTTGAAAGAACCGCCTGTTCCCAGCACCTGTTCCTGACCAGGCCTTTCCTACCCACTTCCTGGCCCCATCCCCAAGCTCTGCCCTCCTCCCCAAACCCAGTCCAGTTGGAACCCTCCCAGAAATGCCAAGAATGCTGAGAGCAAAAGTAACAGGGGCCCAGACTGGCACCACGAGGTGGCCCAGGGACCAGCTTCAGAGGCCAAGCAAGGGGCTAGATATGGGCCTGTCCTTCGTCACCCTTCATCAGGGACCCATCAGAGACCCCATCCTCCCAGCAACACTGCCAGCCCGGGATTCTATCTGTCACTCTAGCTGGCATGGAGGTAGGGGCAAGTTTCTCATCTGTCTCCCATCCTACCCCCATTTTCTGCCCATACCCTGAATCCCCTTTCCCATCCATCGTCCCTCCCCTCCCCACATCCATGATTTTCCCCATTCCTCCCACCCTCCCTGCCCCCACCCTGTCCTCTCTCCTACCTCCCCCTCAGACACTTTCCCAGCTACAACTTTCTTGGCAGGACAATTTTCCATGATCACAGCCAAGGCTTCTTCCCCAGGGGAGGACTGTGCTGGGAATGGAGGCTGCCTGGGTCCCCTGGGGCTGAACCCCAGGCCAGGAGTGAAGGAAGGGGTAAGGTGAGGTGACTGGCACCCAGCTGACTACAAGGATCTCTCTTCACAGAAGGAGAGACTCAAAAGTGGAGGCAGGGCAAACCCCGAGGCCTCTCTCCCGCACTCTTTTCCTCCATCTCCCTTGCTGGGGGACAGGGCCCGAAGCTGTTCAGGCAATATTGCAGACAGGCATCTACGGGGCACTGGGCCAGTTCTGAGGAGGAGGGGAGGGCACAGAGCCACTCTCCCTTCCCACAGCTCTGGTCTCTTAGCAGCTGTCGTCCCACATCAGAGCCGGCGTCCAGACCAAGCAGGGGGCGGGGAGCGGCAAGGAAGAGGGCATGCGTTCGGCATTCATTAACAACTATGTACTGGGAACCTATCGCCTGCCAAGCCCCGTGTCAGGCACCGGTGAGACAGGCAGTAACATTATTCAGCACCTACTGTGGGTCAGGCCCTCGGCTAGATGCCAGGGATATGAGGAACTAACATTGGTCACCCTCTACCTAATGGTCCAGACATCAGGCTAGGCAGCTTTCATGCATGCTCTCATTTAAGCTTCATGACAATCCTATGTGAGGACTCTTTTCTTGTCTTTCGGATGAGGAAACCCACTGAGACGCGTTAAGCAGGATGCTGGAATTTAAATCCACATCTGCCTAATTCCAAAACCCATGCATTTTCCACCATACCAATGACAGGCCATCTCCAGAACACTGAGACAGACCACTCCAGAAAAAGAACAGAAGGAAGGGAAGGGGAGGGTACCCCGCACAGAAAAGGAAACCAGGTGGCGTGGCCAACTTTCAGACAAGTCCGGAGTATCCCCCCACCTCCAAACTCAGAGATGGCCATATCTTGGAGGACTGGGGCTCTCTTATTCATAGCACATAGCTAAGCACCAAGAGAAGCTAATATCTCCCCTAGAGGTCTAGAGTAGGGAGGAGGGTGGAGGGAAGGGGTCCACATGGAGGAAAGAAGCTGGTCCGCATACATATGGCCAGCCTCACTCTCAGTGGGGACCAGACCAGCCCACCCTCCCTGGAACAAGAGTTCCCACATGCGGCCTCTCTAGTCCCTCCACCTCTGCGCCCACCACACACTTTTCTGGCTTCATCCCACCATCCCCAGCCACCCCAGGCCTCCGGACAGAACAAGAGCCTCAACAAGAGCCTCCGCTGCAGCCACTGAAGGCAAAAGCAAGAACGTGTTGGCAGCTGGGGGCAGAGGGATTCCCCAGCAGCCTGGCTAAGTGGAAGCAAAGGAGTAGCCCACTACCACCGCACCTCTCAATTCTGCACACACTCCAAGGCTCTGACCCAAGGCCTGCCCTCCCTGACTCTCAATCTGGGTGGCCCTCTGGGGAGGGTGCTTGGCCTGAAGGCTGACTCAACCAGGGAGATCCAGCCAAGCGTTTGGATCCAGGCTTGCAGTAAGGCACTGAAGCTATTCTCTAGCTCTGTGGAGCACGATACACGAATCACAGTGCTAACACTTTCACAGCACTCCCTCTGGGCCTCGCGCTATTCTAAGGGCTTTATATATACTAAGAACTCTTTTTTTTTTTTTAAAGATTTTATTTATTTATTTGACAGAGAGAGAGATAGCGAGAGCAGGAACACAAGCAGGGGGAGTGGGAGAGCGAGAAGCAGGCTTCCTGCCGAGCAGGGAGCCCGATGTGGGACTCGATCCCAGGACCCTGGGATCATGACCTGAGCCGAAGGCAGACGCCTAACGACTGAGCCACCCAGGCGCCCTATACTAAGAACTCTTAAACCCCACAACTATCTGGTAGTGCTACTGCTTAACTCCGTTTTACAGTTGAAAGATATAAATGAGGCTGAAGCCACAGAGCAAAGAAGGTTAGATTTCAAAGTTTCATCCAGGGGCAAGATTGAAAGACATCAAAACAGGTGAGGCCTTTCGATCAGTGGATGCTGGTGAAGGCGACCTGCAACACACAAGCTAGGGACTGAGCAAGGCCCCTGGTCTCTCATGTGCCACCAGGCAGCAGAGCACCCCTTGCTGGAGCAAAAGCAGGGTTAGGCAGTCAGGTCCCCCTGGGAAAGCCCCCAGCTTGGCTCTCGGAGACCGAATCAGGGGCCACCTTCAGAGAGGAGGGGGAAATAACAAGAGACGAAGCTATTAAAAATAACTTAGAATTTGCCTGGAAATAGCTCAGAGAGTTCAGCATGTCCTAAAAAGGCCTCCAGTCCTGGAACTCTGGCTGATGGGGGAAGAAGGGAGGGAGGGAGACAGAGATGCGGTAGGAAGCAGATAGAAGGGCTGAAGAAGAGATGAAGTCAGTTGCTTTCTATCTCTTCCAAAGTTTGGGGGACCACTGACCATGCTCCCTGATGACAGGGATAATGGAAGAAAAAAGATTAGAGCTAGCCCCTCCTCCTCGAGCAGGGTAAGAGAAATGAGCTCCTGTCCCTACCCTCTGCCCCCAAGCCAGTGGTATCAGGGAGAAGACAATCCCAGTGGACAGCATTGATCCCAGTAATGGACACTTAGTGTGGCTTAGGCACCAGCCTAGGAAAGAAAAGCCCCCTGGCAGGAGGGTGGTGGGAAGCTTTCTTCCCTTTGTCTCTCTTTTTAAAATCATACATGTAGCTGGAGCCAACAGCACAGGAAACATGACAGACACAGGCCCCACACATATGTGTCCATCTCCCATGAGTCCTGAACTGATTAGAAAATAACTAGAATTGTCCTCTGCCCCTCACTCCTCCCTGCTTTCCCCCAATGCTGAGATTCCTAGACCTGGAAATTTCCTGAGGAGGAGGAAGGAGAACAACCTGGCCAGCATCCCTCCTGGATCTCTCTCTCTCTCTCTCTCTCGCTCTCTCTCTCGCTGCTGCTGCTGCTGCTACAACTTTTGGGGGCTCTGCTTCCTGTCATTCTATCATCAAACCATCTAGTACCGGCTGCCATACCCTCCCAGGTCCTCTTCCAACCTCCCCATGGTCTTGAGCCACAGAATAGAATGGCAGGGCTCTCCTGGCCTCCAGTGTCCTGCTGTCTTCATCCCACACCATGGCAATGCTCTGACGGGAAGTTATTTCTGGAGTCTACCCTCCATCCCTCCCATGGAGTCTTCAACCTCTCTGTCCTTTCCCTCTCCTCCTGCCCTAAGCAGAGACAAGATGTCCAGTCCCCCTTCCTGAGGGAATCCAGCCCTCTGAAGGAGGCGAGTCCCAGACCCTGGGACTGAGGCAAGGATGCAAGTTGGGGGAAACCTGCCAAGACAAGGGCCTCCCTCTCCAACTCATCCCCAAAGCAAGACCCTGGGTCTCAGGCCCTGAGGGTACGTCTCCGGACCCAAGACAGGTAAGGCAAGGTTGAAGTATGGGATATCTGTGGATACCCTGAATCGTCATGGGGTTGGAAGACTGAGAGATGGGGTGGGGGGTTGGGGGGAAATCTGTGGCTCGGGCACGGGGACTCTGGGCGGGTGCAGTGACTCACCAGCTCTGGGGTCGGGGCTGCAACTGCCGGTGCAGAGCCACAGAGAAGCCGAAGAGGCTACCCGGCTCGCCCTCCTTGCGCAGGGCGCCCATCACGTCCAGATTGAAGGCGACAGCACCCGGGACGAGCAGTCCGGCCAACAGGGAGCCAAGAAGGTAACAAATCCCGGGGGCGCCCCGAGGATCACGGCCTGGAGTCCCGGCCATGCGGCGAACCCTGGGCGCGCTCCGCACGAGCGCAAGAAACTCGCTCCCTCCCGCAGCCCCAGGTCTCCCACGGCGGGTCTCAGGTCTCGAGTCTCGCACGTCTTTCAGGGCTCTCGCAATCTCTCTCCTCGCCACCCCTCTCCCGCCGCTCCACCGCCCCGTTCCCCCGCCACTCCACCTCCTCGCTGCCCCGCTGCCCCAGCCCCGGCTAGGACTGCAGCAGCCGCAGGCCAGGAGAGCGCTCCGGCTCCCGCCTCCTCCCCCAGGGGCAGCGCCCAGGCCCCGCCCTCGGCCCCGCCCCTCGCTCGCGCGGCAGGTGGAGGCTTCGCGGTGTCGCAAAGGGAGGTCCAGGCTGGCGACTCGGGGTGGGAACTGGCCTTGCTCGCCAGGATCCCCACCCGGGCTTTGGCCCCGCCCCCGCCTGCGCGCTCCTGCCCTTCCCCCCACACTCCTGCCCCAGCCCCCGAGTGGTGGGGGCGGTGCCTGGGGATGGGGAGGGAGAAACAAGTACAGATAGAAAGGGACCAAAAAGAGAAAGGAGGGTAAGAAATGAGAAGTGCTTGAGGCTAAAGGACAGTCTGGGAAGAGAGATGCAGACAGGGAGATGAAAGGGCAGGGTCCTGTGTGGTCTTTTGGTGCTCCCTTCTCTCCATGGTCACGTAGAGCGCCTAGCATGCTCTTCGAATCAAACCACATCCCGCCCCATCCCATCCCACCCCCCAGAGCCCGGCAGTGACAACGGCTATGCTAGCCACATGGTCAGCATTCAGGAGAACTGAGGAAAAGACACAGGCAGCAGGAGAGAGAGAAACTCAGCAGGTCTGGGAGGAGAGCAAAGGAGGCAGGTAGAAAGAAAACAGAGAAAGATGGAGAAAGAAGGGCAAGAGTTTGATCAATAAGGAATGGTGGGGGCTGGGGGCTTCTTGGCTGCCTCAGTCCTTAGAGCACGGGACTCTTGCTCTTGGGATGGTGAGTTCCAGCCCCACTTTGGGCATAGAGCTTTCAAAAAAAAAAAAAAAAAGGAATGGAATGGAATGAAGGGAGAAAAGAAAATTACTGAGGGTGATTGATAGAGGAAGAGGAAATTAATTAAGCTGGGGAAAAGGGAGTGGGGGTCAAAGAAGAGCAAGGGCAAGGATGAAAAAGATTGGACCCAAGAGGCAGAGAGATGGAAAGGATGTCTTCGACTCACAGACCCCTTCCCTGAACTGTCCTTTTCCCACCTCTGACGGGAAAGGATTGGAGAGGGCAGCGTCCCCGGCTGATCCATGAAGGATCTGGGTGGGGCTTTGCAAGGATCTCCACATGGACCCACAAGCCTCTCTTCCTCTCCCTTCCCCCCAGGCTGAGACAGAAGCAAAGGGGGGGGGGACATTTTCCAGCCCTCTGCTATTTATAACTCCAATCCAGAAATGGGGCCAGGAGGAGAGATAGGAAATAATTTGGCACAACTGGAACCTCGCTTGCTCCCACCTCCTCTTCTCACTGGGTGTCGGTCTTCTGTATATCCACCTATCCATCTTTCCCTTCCCTCTCTCATTATCTGGTTTTGTCTCATCCCAAACTTTATTTTTGTCCCCTTTCTTGTCTCTATCACTTGGAACCCTTCTCTGAAGACTTCTCAATGCCTCCAATGTTGTCTCTGTCCCTCCAAGTCTATCATATCCTTAAGATTTTCTCTTCTCATGGGGTGCCTGTCTGGCTCAGTTGGGAGAGCATGTGACCCTTACTTCAGGGCCATAAGGTTGAGCCCCACGTTGGGGGGAGAGATTATTTAAATATGAAATCTTAAAAAAAATATATTTTCTTTTCTCCCGCCCTTTCTTTTTTTTAATTTCTTTTTTTTTTTTAAGATTTTATTTATTTATTTCACAGAGAGAGAGAGATAGCGAGAGCAGGAACACAAGCAGGGGGAGTGGGAGAGGGAGAGGAAGAAGCAGGCTTCCCGCCGAACGTGGAGCCCGATGCGGGGCTCGGTCCCAGGACCCTGGGATCATGACCTGTGCCAAGGGCAGACGCTTAACAACTGAGCCACCCAGGTGCCCCTCTCCCTCACTTTCTTAAAAGCCCCAGTGCACCCTACCTAATTTCTCTTCCCATGCTCCCTTTGTCTCTCTTATTTCTTTTTCCAAGACTATACTTTTAAAAACAAACAGAAAGGTAGGCTCTCACTCTGCTGGCTCTGGGACAATCCTTGCCCTGGGTAAGTTACTATACATTTGAAGATTTGGGCCTCTGTTTTTGCAACACTATACTGTAGACATTCCCTCAAGGGGACTAGCACACCTCTAACTAGGGGCTATCGAGGAAACACATGTGCTGCCAACAAGCCAGCACCAGGATCCTACTTTTATTATCCCTCAGATCTGCCCTCTCTATCCCTTTTCTATCTCAGAGCCCCAGACAGTAGAGCTGATATGAGAATGCAGAGTAGTAAAATCAGTATAGAACCCAGGACTCCTGACTCTGAGCCAAGATCTCCAACCTGGGTCAAATGCCTTTAGAGGCCCAGGTGCCTTCCTCTCTGCACCTGCGGCTTCTGCCTCCCTTCATCTTCACCCCACTGGCTCCTGCTAAATCCAAGGCTGAAACCACAATGCCAAGAATCTGCTTCTGACCTCCTCTGCCCAAATATTTGAGAAGTCATCTCACCCGCCACACGAGGAAGGAGCAGGAAAAGAGAGAGAGGCTGCCCAAAATTAGCCTGGCTATAAATAGTGGGGCAAGGGAGGGCGGGGGAATGTAAGAGTCCTAGACCAGCCTAGTAAATTTAGACATGTCGATTTTCCCTAAAGGAGAAGTGAGACAAGACTGTTGGAATGGGCCACAACGTTGTAGGTGAAGCGGGGGAGCGGAATGAAGAAGCTAGAGGGATCTGGAGAATGAAGCGCGGTGTTTGAATAAACAACCTGCCAAGAACTTCTTGTATTTGAGTCAAGAGTTTGGAAAGTCATGAAATTAAAACTATAGAGATGACGAAGAGATTATTGACTGCCAGGGGACAGGGATGGGAAGAGGTGAGAATAAAAAGCTAGCACATTACACCTGAAACTAACATAACATCGTGTGTTAATTATACTTCAAAAATAAATAAACAGAGGCGCCTGGATGGATCGGTCGGTTAAGCATCTGCCTTTGGCTCAGGTCATGATCATGGGATCCTGGGATCCAGCCCCAAGTCTGGGCTCCCTGCTCAGTGGGGAGTCTGCTTCTCCCTCTCCCTCTGCCATTCCTCCCAGCTTGTGCTCTCTCTCTCTCAATAAATTAAATAAATAAATGCAAAAAAAAAAAAAAAGATAGCACAGGAAGTTCCTTTGTGGTAATGAAGAGATCTGCATCCTGATTTTGGTGGTAGTTATTCAAATCTATACACAGGCTAAAACTGCATAGAACTACACACACACGCACACACTGACACACACAAATAAATGTGTGTAGAACACTGATGAAAACCGAATAAGGCCTGTAAGCCAGTGACCAGTGTCCCTATGTCAGCTTCCTGGGTTTGATACTGTGCTACAGTTGTATCAGATGTCACCAGTGAGGGAAACTGGGTGAAGGGTACACAGGACTTCATGTACTATTTTTGCAACTTCCTCTGAGTCTAGAACTATTTCAAAATAATTTTAAAAATTATTTGGGCATAGAGCTTTCAAAAAAAAATTAATGTCCAGGCCCAGCAAAGGCTTCAGCCGTATCTCAGTGGAAGCTGAGGCTTTCTCCAGCCCCTTCCCCCTCTAACAACCTTTTTTGCCTCCATCTGGGATCCCTGTTTTTCCGCTTCCCCAGATTACACATTTTCCAGCTGCTGCCTCTAGCTAACAGGCAAACACTTCCAGAACACATTGCAGGGTTAACTTCTCCCTCCACCTCATCCGGCAGCAGAGCCTTGGAGCATATGTCCCAGGGTCAGCCTCTTCCTCCCCAACACACACAACATGAGGACTTTCTCACCCCACCCACCTCTCCAGCACTGGAATCCTTCTGCCTGCCTCTGAATTCTGGCTGTAGCCAAAGCTTGAACTATGGGAGTGGCTGGGAGAGAGAGAATATAAATGTGATTGAAAGGAATCACTGGGGAAATGACTTGACTGCTCTCATCTTTGAGGATCCAAGGGAAACCCATGCATTTTCTGGAGAAGGACTGGGAGGTCACTTCCCACGGGGAGCCATTTAGACTGTCTTGAGGGCCCCTTTTCTTTGAGCACTGGCTGCAGTCCAACATTTGGAACTTGGCCACACCACCAACAGTACCCCCCTCTTGAAACCCAGCCAGGCTTCCCAGTATGAGAAGCCTTCTCCACTCACTCCAATGTTCTCCTTCAGTCCTCATCCAACCCTTAACAACTCAGCAGCTTCCGGCCCTAATGTTTGGCCCAGGCGTTCAGTTTAGAACTTGCTAAGTAAAGCTAACTCAGGAAAAGACCTCAAAAGAACAAGGAAATGAGTGGGGAAGGAAAGGACCGTGGAGTTGCATTCATTCATTCTAAGAGAAAAAAATCTGGGGGGCGGGGAGTATAAAGAGATGCGGGCAGAAAGAGATTTCAAATGTCAAGAGTCATTCTCCAGAGATTCATGAAGCTTGTGTCCATCTCACCCAAAGGCGGGTGGGGAGCTGAGCTTCAACTCAGCAGAAACTGAAGTTACACAGTGAGCAGCAAAAGCCTAGAAAAAGAGCATCTGGAGGATGACCCTGGAGAGATCAGCTGGAGTCCCCAGATAGAAGTACCCATGTCCTCTGCCCAGCTCTAGGGCAAAGGAACAGCCAGTGTGTGGGGAGGGGGGTGGGGCTGATGTCTGCAGATTCCTGGCAGTCTCTATACTGATTGTGAAAATGTCAGGCGGTTGTGCCAGGGGGGTGAGGGTAATACAGGATGGGCTGGCACTCTCCCTGAGTCAGCCTAATCTTAACATTCACAAACTCACCACCGAAAACCCCAACACCAACCCCCCTCATTAGCCCCTGCCCTCTGTTTCACATCCGCAAGTAACCATTTTCTGGTACTCCCTCCAACTCCTGCTCTTCTCTCCCAGGCCCCACGTCTCTGGGAGTGAGGCACCGAGCATCTTCCAATGTGCTTCTATTTTGCTTGCTCACTGCAGTTGGAAGGTGGAGCCAAGCGGGGGTTGGGGGAAGGACTGGGCTGCCCGGTGATGCTCTCACTCTTCCCGC